ACATTATGGGGTTGTATAGTTATTTTTCTAGACTTTACATTTCCTGGACTTTACGCACAGAGCGTTCTGTGGGTCTTCGCATCACCGGGCTAAAAACGCGCACGTGGAGTGGTTACTTACGGGTCCCATCAAAACGGGTTGCAATTGTGTCTAGGAAGGTGTTCTGTGGCGCCAGACGACCCCTCGTCGCTGGCGTCCTAGACCTTTGAGACCCTCTCCGGTCTCGGCGATTCGAGGCATCGGTCTCCGCTGCGACGAAACCGGGCAAAAATCTGGAAGTCCCGGGCGCGCCTCCGAGCCCCTGTATGAGCGCGCCAATCCGAGATCCTCGGGGCTCCACTTTGAGACCACGGGGTTGACCACTCAAATGGTCATAAACAAAGAGAAGAAGGAAAGTAAAATCCGATTGCAGTGGGTGGTAGCAAGATGATGAATGGTAGGCTATGCTTTGACAACATTGGTGTACTGGAATGCACGATGAATTTTAACGGCTGCAACGTGCGCATCGCAGCATCAGTGCTGCTGCGCTGTGCTCCTCAATGCCACATACATAGCCTAGGCTACTCCCCCCCCCCACCCCCCTCTCTCTCTCTCTCTCTCTCCTGTCCTCTCCTCTTTCTCTCTCTCTCTCTCTTCAGACACACAGGCAGGTATAAAACCAATGGGTAGTGCAGTTCTCCATCAAAACATATGTGACTTTGGACAAAGTTTCATTTACATTTTAGTCGATTCTCTTATCTTTCCAGAGGAAATTACAGTCAATTCATATACAATAATATACAATGAAAGGCTATAAAGGCTTATCCGATTGTTATTCCATGAGCATAAAGAATTTCCAGACAGCTGAATATTCTTAGTGTGCAATGTAGGCATTTCGTCATCTTTTTATTTTTTAGATGGAGTGGTCGTCGTCTAGTGACTGTTGTTTGAAAGACCATAGATCTCGATAGTGCTTTATCAAGCAGTGGTCCTATTTACATCTAGATAGAGCCCAGAGTCCATGTGCCTGTGTAATTCCTGATAGAATGAATTGTGCCGTAATCCTACATAAAGCTGAAGGGTTCAATATCCCGCTTCATACCCTCAAAAAGGTTTTATATAGAACTGCAAAGCACCCTTATTTTTTTGCAGTGTACTATATTAGTTACACTTTACTTATATCAGATAATGCTAGTGAATAGTAGCATGTAGTTACTTAAAATAAATCTAAAACTGAGTCTGTCTGACTGTCTGTCTGTCTGTCTGCTACTGGAGGTGTCTACAGCTGATGCGGTATATTGAGAAGGGTAAGCCTGCCATCTAGTGGTGAAGATAAACTAGCTGTAGAAGAAAACTATAAATGGACAGTATAGTCAAATGACAGTCAGACTCAATTCATTTTACCTCGATTCCTCGCATCCCATCTCCCTGCCTCCTGCTCGAGCGTATTGGAGCAGGGGGTCCCTCCCTTCAGACCTTCTCCAATGTGTTTTGAGAAGGGTGCAAGGAGAGGGGACACAAAGAGTCGGAAGATGTATTTATTTAACCAGGTAAGCCAGTTGAGAACAAGTTCTCATTTACAACTGCGACCTGGCGAAGATAAAGCAAAGCAGTGCGATAAAAACAACAACAACACAGAGTTACATATGGGGTAAAACAAAACATAAAGTCAAAAATACAACAGAAAATATATATACAGTGTGTTCAAATGTAGCAAGTTATGGAGGTAAGGCAATAAATAGGCCATAGTGCAAAATAATTACAATTAGTATTAACACTGGAATGATAGATGTGCAGAAGATGATGTGCAAATAGAGATACTGGGGTGCAAATGAGCAAAATAAATAACAATATGGGGATGAGGTAGTTGGGTGGGCTAATTACAGATGGGCTGTGTACAGGTGCAGTGATCGGTAAGCTGCTCTGACAACTGATGCTTAAAGTTAGTGAGGGAGATAAGAGTCTCCAGCTTCAGAGATTTTTGCAGTTCGTTCCAGTCATTGGCAGCAAAGAACTGGAAGGAATGGCGGCCAAAGGAGGTGTTGGCTTTGGGGATGACCAGTGAGATGTACCTGCTGGAGCGCATACTACGGGTGGGTGTTGGCTATGGTGACCAATAAGCTAAGATAAGGCGGGGATTTGCCTAGCAGTGATTTATAGATGACCTGGTGCCAGTGGGTTTGGCGACGAATATGTAGTGAGGGCCAGGCAACGAGCGTACTGGTCACAATGGTGGGTAGTATATGGGGCTTTGGTGACAAAATGGATGGCACTGTGATAGACTACATCCAATTTGCTGAGTAGAGTGTTGAAGGCTATTTTGTAAATGACATCGCCGAAGTCAAGGATCGGTAGGATAGTCAGTTTTACAAGGGCATGTTTGGCAGCATGAGTGAAGGAGGCTTTGTTGCGAAATAGGAAGCCGTTTCTAGATTTAACTTTGGATTGGAGATGCTTAATGTGAGTCTGGAAGGAGAGTTTACGGTCTAACCAGACACCTAGGTATTTGTAGTTGTCCACATATTCTAAGTCAGACCTGCCGAGAGTGGTGATTCTAGTCGGGTGGGCATGTGCAAGCAGCGTTCGATTGAAGAGCATGCATTTAGTTTTACTAGCATTTAAGAGCAGTTGGAGGCTACGGAAGGAGTGCTGTATGGCATTGAAGCTCGTTTGGAGGTTTGTTAACACAGTGTCCAATGAAGGGCCAGATGTATACAAAATGGTGTCGTCTGCGTAGAGGTGGATCTGAGATTCACCAGCAGCAAGATTGACATCATTGAATATACACAGAGAATAGAGTCGGCCTGAGAATTGAACCCTGTGGCACCCACATAGAGACTGCCAGAGGTCCAGACAACAGGCCCTCCGATTTGACACATTGAACTCTATCTGAGAAGTAGGTGAACCAGGCGAGGCAGTCATTTGAGAAACCAAGGCTATTTAGTCTGCCAATAAGAATGCGGTGATTGACGGAGTCGAAAGCCTTGGCCAGGTCGATGAAGACGGCTGCACAGTACTGTCTTTTATCGATCGCGGTTATAATATCGTTTAGGACCTTGAGCGTGGCTGAGGTGCACCCATGACCAGATTGCATAGCGGAGAAGGTACGGTGGAATTCAAAATGGTCGGTGATCTGTTTGTTAACTTGGCTTTCAAATACTTTCAAAAGGCAGGGCAGGATGGATATAGGTCTGTAACAGTTTGGATCTAGAGTGTCACCCCCTTTGAAGAGGGGGATTACCGCGGCTGCTTTCCAATTTCCCGGGTGATCTCAGACGATACGAAAGAGAGGTTGAACAGGCTTGTAATAGGGGTTGCAACAATTTCGGTGGCTAATTTTAGAAAGAAAGGGTCCAGATTGTCTAGCCCAGCTGATTTGTAGGGGTCCAGATTTTGCAGCTCTTTCAGAACATCAGCTATCTGAATTTGGGTGAAGGAGAAGCGGGGGGGGGGGGGGGGGGGGGGGCATTGACAAGTTGCAGCGGAGGGTGCAGAGCTGGTGGCCAGGGTAGGGGTAGCCAGGTGGAAAGCATGGCCAGCCGTAGCAAAATGCTTGTTGAAATTTTCGATTATCGTAGATTTATCGGTAATGACAGTGTTTCCTAGCCTCAGTGCAGTGGGCAGCTGGGAGGAGGTGCTCTTATTCTCCATGGACTTTACAGTGTCTGAAAACTTTTTGGAGTTAGTGCTACAGGATGCAAATTTCTGTTTGAAAAAGCTAGCCTTTGCTTTCCTAACTGATTGTGTATATTGGTTCCTGACTTCCCTGAAAAGTTGCATATCGCGGAGGCTGTTCGATGCTAATGCAGTACACCACAGGATGTTTTTGTGCTAGTCAAGGGCAGTCAAGTCTGGGGTGAACCAGGGGCTATATCTGTTCTTAGTTCTGAATTTTTTGAATGGGGCATGCTTATTTAAGATGGAGAGGAAAGCACTTTTGAAGAACATCCAGGGATCCTCTACTGACGGTTTGAGGTCAATATCCATCCAGGATACCCGGGCCAGGTCAATTAGAAAGGCCTGCTCGCTGAAGTGTTTTAGTGAGCGTTTGACAGTGATGAGGGGTGGTCGTTTGACCGCGGACCCATTATGGACGCAGGCAATGAGGCAGTGATCGCTGAGATCCTGGTTGAAGATAGCAGAGGTGTATTTAGAGGGTAAATTAGTCAGGATGATATCTATGAGGGTGCCCATGTTTACGGATTTAGGGTTGTACCTGGTATGTTCCTTGATAATTTGTGTGAGATTGAGGGCATCTAGTTTAGATTGTAGGACGGCCGGGGTGTTAAGCATATCCCAGTTTAGGTCACCAAGCAATACGAACTCTGAGGATAGATGGGGGGCAATCAATTCACATATGGTGTCCAGGGCACAGGTGGGGGCTGATGGGGGTCTGTAGCAAGCAGCAACAGTGAGAGACTTATTTCTGGAAAGGTGGGTTTTTAGAAGTAGAAGCTCAAACTGTTTGGGCACAGACCTGGATAGTATGATAGAGCTCTGCAGGCTATCTCTACAGTAGATTGCAACCCCGCCCCCTTTGGCAGTTCTATCTAGACGGAAAATGTTGTAGATGGGAATAGACATTTCTGAATCTTTGGTGGCCTTCCTAAGCCAGGATTCAGACACTGCTAGAACATCAGGGTTGGCAGAGTGTACTAACGCAGTGAATAGCTCAAACTTAGGGAGGAGGCTTCTGATCAAGGCTTTTGCGGTTACAGAAGTCAACAAATGATAGCGCCTGGGGAGTAGGAGTGATACTGGGGGCTGCAGGGCCTGGGTTAACCTCTACATCACCAGAGGAACAGAGGAGGACTAGAATAAGGATACGGCTAAAGGCTTTAAGAACTGGTCTTCTAGTGCGTTGGGTACAGAGAATAAAAGGGGCAGATTTCCGGGCGTTGTAGAATAGATTCAGGGCATTATGTACAGACAAGGATATGGAAGGATATGAGTACAAGAAAGTGAGAAAGAATTGAGAAAGTGACTCAGTGATTCACAGTTTGGTGAAATGCGCTATTTAAGACATGGTAAACACGGATTGAACTAACACTAGTTAGTCTTTCTTCAAACTGCATTAACAGATATGATTTAACTAACCAAGTGTTTAAAGTTGATTAGTTGAATGTGACGAATTATTACTGCGTTGGAACAAGACTAGTAGCTGACTGTGGGACCACCTCTGGGACATGCCCTGGACAACAAGCAGTTCTTTTTGAGTATTCTAAATAGCCAACAACTGACAATTTTGGAGTGGTAGATTATTGACCAGAATGCTGTGTGTGCACCTTATTACCACACGGTGGAGGTGTTTGTTCATAGTCAGAGCCATAGCCATCACAGGGCATTGCCAGCAGAAACTAGACGAGATAAGGCCTGTTGTGGAAGTCTGCCCTGCATCAAGAAATGGAAACACAGATGATTTAAAAAGCAGGAGAAAGGACTACATGTGACATATGTGACAATATGTGTATATATGTAACTATTACAGTATTTAGTTATGCAAAGTACAACAGAACTGCAAACTGGCCCTCTTAAATATTTATGTGTGTTAATTGACTTATCTTCTACTCTATAACCACAATAACAAATGTGTTACGCTGACCAAATAAGCATCTAGCACTTCCTTACAAATCCCAAGGAGCGTGTGGTTGGCTTGCATTGTCTGGTAACTCCTGTGTGTGACTGTGTCTGTGCACCTTCAGTCAGGAACAGAGGAGGTTCCTGCACCTGTTCTATGGAGACCCCTTTACAATTGGTGTATTCATCAAAACCAACCTAGAGGTGAGGTAGAGGAGCCTTTGTGCTGAAGAGCACAGAACATAAAAACACTGGACAGATGAAAGACTAGCCAGCCTACAAACAACACTAATGTAGACAGTGGAGGTGGGCAGAATGAAAGACAAGGGGGAGCAGAGAGAGAGAGAGGGGGGGGGGGGGGGGGGGAAGAGCAAGAGAGAGACAGGAGAGCGAGGAGAGAAGAGGGGGGGGGGAGAGAGGAAGAGAGAGAGAGAGAGAGAGAGAGAGAGAGAGAGAGAAGACCTGGGAAGAGGGAGTAAGAAATTATAATAAGGTTAGCATACGTTAGGGGACTAAGGTAGGGAACACAGTGTCCAATTTCCCATCTTATTACATGTCCCAGTGTCCCACTTCCTCCTGTTACTTCTTACAACAACACATATCCCTTCCTAAGCATCCTCAGGTGTACACCACCCCCACACCACCAACATCCCTCTCTACCTCTTGATTGTCATTGACTGTAAATACAAAATAATCCTTGTTTTAGCCCGATAGATTTGCATGTCATTCCCATTCATATGTATGTAGGTCGGGGGTAACAATATGTTACCTGCAGGCTCTACAGCTGGAGCCCAGGCAGCCGTTACAATATGAACAATACCCACGAGAGAGGGCCTGAATTGGGGCCCAATCCCACCTATTAGCCCCTCATTAGAGACAGCTTTTCTTAAACACACCAAGACAATGAGAATGGCGGGGGAGGGAGGGGAGAGGGGGGGGTGATTATTGTATTGCTACTGTTTGGTGTGTGTTTGTCTTCTCAAGCAGAAACCAGGGTGGGCTAATGTTTCTCTGGCGGTCAGTGAGCCAACAGAAAAAACATTCACTGTTGAGTGATGCTAGACTCGTTTTGAAAAATGCTAGCCTCTCTCTCTCTCGCTCTCTTTCTTGTTCTCTTTCGCTATTTTCTTGTCTGTCTCTCCTCTTTTTGTCTCTTCCCTGTCTCTTTCCTGTGCTCCTCTTTATGTTTTTTGTCTGTCCTCTCTCCTTTCTCTTTCAATGTTAGGCGTTTATTGGCATGGGAAACGTATGTTAACATTCCAAAAGCAAGTGAAGTAGATAGTAAACAAAAGCTCTATCTCTTCTCTCTCTCTCTCTCTCTCTCTCTCTCTCTCTCTCTCTCTCTCTCTCTCTCTTCTCTCTCTCTTCTCTCTCTCTCTCTCTCTCTCTCTCTCTCTCCTCTCTCTCTACTCCTCTCTTCTCTCCTCTCTCTCTCTCTCTCTCTCTCTCTCTCTCTTCAGACACACAGGCAGGTATGAGGATACTTATCTTTACAGAGCAAATTACAGTCAATTCATATACAATAATATACATTTAAAGGTTATAAAGGCTTATCCGATTGTTATTCCATGAGAATTTCCAGACAACTGAATATTCATAGTGTGCAATGTATGCACTACGTCTGATTTCATTTTTATACTGAACAAAAATATTAATGCAACATTTAAAGTGTTGGTACCATGTTTCATGAACTGAAATAAAATATATTTCTCTCTCTCTTTCTCAATAACAATTTCCCAAGGAAAGAGAGAGTGAGAGAGGGGAGGGAGAGTGAGAGAGGGGAGGGAGAGGGAGAGAGGGGAGGGAGAGGGAGAGAGGGGAGGGGCCCCCCCTCCACCCCCTGCCTGCAGCTGATTGGCAGAGACCCTGTCTGCTTTTAGGCCTCTTTCAGGAGTGACCTGCCACTCTTAATTACCACACTTGAGGAACTCGATGACACAGGACTTTGTCAAATGTCAAATTAGTACAACCACAACAACAAAACAAAAAGGGTCTTTCCCTAGCCTCCCCCTGGCCTAACCCTGTCATCCTCCTCTCCTCCTCTCCTCCCCCCATCAGGCAGGCCTGGCGAGTCGCCTTACTGAGGGGAGAGAGGCTGTAGGGGTTGTTGCTGTTCTCTGGTCAAGCTGAAGCCTTGGGAAACTGATGACCGTTCGCCTCGTCCCTCTCTGTCAATCAGTAAATCTAATTATATCATTAGAAGTGTTGGGAGAACAAATTAGAAACACATTTGCAACACCAAAAATACAGCGTTTTGTGTGTGTGTGTGTGTGTTGTTCGTATGAGAGTGTGTATGTATGTTCATGTTCAAAGAAATATAAGCCTTCTCAGATGTTATCAAAAGACACATTTCAGGGGGAATCTATGCAGCTGATCAAACCATTTGTACAACTCCATAATTTTATGTCCCTGATGCCTTGATGTCAAATGGATGTCCCTGTACACATACAAACATGCATGTGATGTGGAACCTTTTACATAAATAGCGGGATGCCGTGTTTTAAGGCCTCATCAAAGGTGAACTCAAAGGGTTCTTATTCATGGGGGATGGATGAAAGGAGAAAAACACTTCGGGGGGGGGGGGGGGGGGTGCTGGCCCTTGAACAAACAACGATCAGACTAAGGTTGGATTGGAGGGTAATGGGGATGGAGGAAGTGGTACTGAAGGTAAGGTATGGAACAGGATTGGAGGGAAATGGGGATGGAGGAAGTGATACTGAAGGTAAGGTATGGAAGGAGGAAGGAGGAAGAGGAGGGGAGGATGGGAGTGAACGAGTTGTTATGGTGTACGGGGGATGTTTGAATCAAAGGTGTACACTACAGCGTCGCTCCAACATCAAAGCTTGCCCTCTCTTCTCTCGCTACTCTGGGAAGTTTCCCCCCCCTCTCTCTCTGTTCCTCCTGTTCTTCAGTTAGCTCAGTTGCATCACAGCGTCATCTTCAGCAAACTTAATTAGGTACTTTTATTTCAGTATTTCTGTCGTTCAGTGACCCTGGCATTTCTGAGGTACCGTCTCCTGCCGCTGTGCCCTGGAGCTTTCTGAGGTACCGTCTCCTGCCGCTGTGCCCTGGAGCACAACGAGGAGGCAGACAAGAAGTAGAAGACTGATAAAGTCCTATTCTATTGTATTCTATCAGCTGCAGTCCAGGATGTGGAGTTGTTCAATGACTAATAGCATACAGTACTTGTGTCTGACACACCCTAGAGACATACATAAATAGTCCACTAATCACCCCAACGCTGGTATTGGCTGCAGAGTACACTTGCCTGCATCTCAAATAGCACCCTACTCCCTACATAGTGCACTACATTTGACCAGAGTCCTATGGGACCAGGTCAAAAGTAGTGCACTATATAGAGAATCATTTGGGTCGCCACCATGGGCTACATACTGTACCCATAAATCAGTCAGAATGGCACATGAGGGCATTGTTGCTCGCTTGTTAAATCTCAAGTTCTACCTTTGAGCCTCTTTGCCAAATGATATCACCATGTTCCAAGCAGACTTGAACACAATGAATGGCTGTGTGTGAATGTTCCACACTCATGTTTACTGTAGATCCTTTCCCTGTGAATACTGAGACTGTCCCTCAATCTTCCCTGAGCTCACCTAGAGTTGTCACGTCATGATGTCAGACAGCTACCATTCTTTCATCATATAGGCCTACATTATTGGTTTTACTACTGGTTTTACTACTGGTGAAATCACACAACAGGCCACAGTGAAGACTGAAGTGCTCTACAGTTTGTGTGTTACCAGAGTACACTTGCCTGCATCCCAAATAGCACCCTACTCCCTACTGGTTTTACTACTGGTAACACACAAACTGTAGAGCACTTCAGTCTTTACTGTGGCCTGTTGTGTGATTTCACCTCAGTGAACTGTATATTGATTTTTTTATGATGCAAGTGCGTGTGTGTATGTGTGTGTGTGTGTGCATACTGTCCTGTATAATGTGTGTGTGCTCTGAGTGAACAGGATATTGATTTGTCCTTTTTCAGTTTCCCACAATTCCTTTGTGTGTGTGTGTGTGTGTTTTGCCTCTGTGTGTGTGTGTTTTGAATGTGTGTGTGTGTGTGTGTGTTTTTGCCTCTGTGTGTGTGTGTGTGTTTTTGAATGTGTGTGTGTGTGTGTTTTGAATGTATGTGTGTGTGTGTGTGTTTTGCCTCTGTGTGTGTGTGTGTGTTTTGCCTGTGTGTGTGTGTGTGTGTGTTTGCCTTGGTGTGTGTGTTGTGTGTGTGTTGTTGTGTGTGTGTGTGTGTGTGTGTGTGTGTTTTGCCTCTGTGTGTGTGTGTGTTTTGCCTCTGTGCGTGTGTGTGTGTTTTGCCTCTGTGTGTGTGTGTGTGTGTTTTGCCTCTGTGTGTGTCTGTGTGTGTTTTGCCTCTGTGTGTGTGATGTGTCTGCTTGTGTGAATACTGTACTGCATGTACTGAACTGTCTAACCACCTCATCTTCCCTCCCTCCTCTGCTGAGACCTTGTATTCCAACATGCTTAATTGTCAACGCCAATTAGTCCAGGGGCCGTGTCTACAATGGCTCAACTGTAGCGAGCCGCAAAAGCCCTCTTTGTGATTCTCCAGTGGCCCGCAGAGCAATCAGGCGCTCATTTAGTCTCCTAACGAAAAGAGGCCTGAGAGATGCCATTAGAAAAAGAAACAAAAGGCCCTTGGACAATGAAGGCAGTAGGAGAGACAGAGAGACAGAGACCAAATAGCCAAACAGCGTGGCCCATAGGGTCGTCCTTTCACAGACAGACACACATACGGTGTTCCTAATGTTTGGTATTCTCAGTGTATAATGGGGCACAATCCTGGGTTAATGTTTGGTATTCTCAGTGTATCATGGGGCACAATCCTGGGTTGCATCTTTTTTTTAATCTAAATTGAAATTCACATTAACTAGCAATTAAACACTATTTTTGATAAACATTGTAGTGGTGAGGTCAGACTATTAAAAAAAAAACAGGTCAGGCTATATTAAATTGTCTGACAAGGTTATGGTAAAAGGAATTCATGGATTGAGTTGGTCACAACACTATTTTAAACATTGTCTGACTTTACTGGTGATGTTATATAGATTGTAGGCCTTTATAAATAACGAAAGATATTACATTAGCTGATAAGTAGGTTATGGTAAAGAATGAAATGATTCAGTCGGTCACCGTGTAAGCAGATTCCTATTGGAGAAGACGCAGGCCTGTGGGCGCGGCCGTCCAGAGAATGCGGCCAAGGTGTTGTTGGTCAATCAGTACGGTTTAGCACAGTTAGCAGCTTGAGCAAGAAGACCTATGAGGGAAGACAGTCGTGGAGTGGATTGTATATCTTTTTATTTATTTTTTTTTATCACAAAAGAGAAAGCTGTTTCACTAAATATTGTTGGGGAAAAAAGTGTGACACAAGGATTAGGCGTCGCTGCCTGCAAATTCCGTCTGAATTGTCGAGTCGAAATTGACTTTATTTGATTGCACCGGAGGCGCGTTTTCTAAAGGAACACGGGGAGTGAATTTCAGTGATGGCAAGATGATCAGATGGCGCTTCTCTCTCTGATTGGCATTGGATATTGATGAGGTAGCTTACATTTTCCCGTGTGATCGACTTGGTGAGTTATCCATTTTATCAACTTGTTTCATCACTATTTCTTAGCCTTTAAGTTTGAGTGAATAAGGCGCACATCCAAAGTGCTTGAATATATTATTGATAGAACATAGAAACAGTAATAAAATGTTTCAAACGTTCAGAGCGCCTTTCCTATCCAATAATCTCATGATTTTTCAATCCACAGCATTGGAGGAGCTTCCATGGCGACCATGACGCAAAAATGCCTTCTTTACATCGGCGTTCTGTGCCTGCTCCAGCTGATGAGCGCACAACCGGTGCGCGCCGCCTCCAAGGCCATCGTGTGTGAACCCATCACGGTCCCCATGTGCAAGGGAATCGGCTACAATCTCACCTACATGCCCAACCAGTTTAACCATGACACTCAGGACGAGGTGGGGCTGGAGGTGCACCAGTTCTGGCCGCTGGTGCGCATCCACTGTTCCCCTGACCTGCTCTTCTTCCTCTGCAGCATGTACACTCCGATCTGCATCCCGGACTATCGCAAGCCTCTGCCCCCGTGCCGCTCCGTGTGCGAGCGGGCCAAGCGTGGCTGCTCCCCCCTGATGAGCCAGTATGGTTTTGAATGGCCCGAGAGGATGAGCTGCGAGGGGCTGCCAGAGCTGGGTGATGCTGATCGCCTCTGTATGGACCGGAACAGTAGTGACATCACAACTTTGTCCCCAGGCCCGGCCTTCCCCCCGAAGCCTACCCCCAAGGCCCCCTCCGTGCTCCACCGCAACCCAGCCCGCCGCAGGCCGCCTCTCCTGCCCAAACCCCACCACAATCACCACCACCAGGACTGTGAACAACGCGACTGCCGCTGCCGCCACCCCCTGGTGTCCGTCAAGAATGAGGCCCACCCACTGTACAGCCGCCGCGTCCACACAGGCCCCGTGGAGAACTGCGCCCAGCCCTGTCATCAACCCTACTTCACCCCGGACGAACACGCCTTCACCTCCCTCTGGATTGGCCTGTGGTCGGTCCTCTGCTTCGTCTCGACCTTAACTACGGTGGTCACGTTCCTGATGGACCGCGACCGCTTCTCCTACCCCGAGCTGCCTATCGTCTACCTGGCTGCCTGCTACCTCTTCGTCTCCCTGGGATACATGGTGCGGCTGGCGGCGGGCCACGAGCGGGTGGCGTGCTCAGAGGACGGCGGGCACGTGCTGTACGACGCGTCGGGCCCTGCCGGCCTGTGCACCTTGGTGTTCCTGCTGGTCTACTTTTTCGGCATGGCCGGTGCCATCTGGTGGGTGGTGCTCTCGCTCACCTGGTTCCTGGCGGCGGGCATGAAGTGGGGCAACGAGGCCATCGCCGGGTACTCGCAGTACTTCCACCTGGCCGCCTGGCTGGTGCCCAGCGTCAAGACCATCGCTGTGCTGGCCCTGAGCGCCGCAGACGGAGACCCTGTGGCAGGGATATGCTACGTGGGCAACCAGAGCGTGGAGAGCCTGCGGGGCTTCGTGCTTGCTCCCCTGGTGGTCTACCTCTTCACAGGCTCCCTCTTCCTCCTAGCGGGGTTTGTATCATTGTTCCGCATCCGCAGTGTCATCAAGCAGGGGGGGACCAAGACAGACAAGCTGGAGAAGCTGATGTTAAGGCTGGGCCTCTTTACCGTCCTCTACACGGTCCCTGCCGCAGTGGTGGTGGCCTGTCTGGTGTACGAGCAGCACCTCAGGCCCCAGTGGGACAGGGGACTTTCCTGCTCCTGCCAGGCTGAGAGACAGAGGCTAGGCCTAGGGCCAGACCACGCCATCTTCATGCTCAAGTACTTTATGAGCCTGGTGGTGGGGATCACCTCAGGGGTGTGGGTGTGGTCGGGGAAGACCTTGGAGTCGTGGAGGAGGTTCCTGGGGAGGTGTTGTTCGTGTCCCTGCTGGGGCCACAAACCCTCCAGCGCGTCAGTGTACAGCGAGGCCAGCACATCCCTCACGACACACACTGGGCTGCTCCGCTTGCAGTCTGAGCACAAGTCCCTGTCGCATCCATCTGTGTGACCAGACGGGCGCTTGTCAGACTCATGTTGCTACACATACAGTGGCTGTTGGAAGAAACTAGATGGATGTTCATTTAACTTATTGAAAGGATTGTAAATTATGTAAAAAGTATTGTCTTTACATAAGGACACGTTTTAAAGCGAGTTGTGTGGGAATATAGAGAAAAACTCTTATTTTTATATTATATGTCCTAGTTCTCATTCTAGACTCATTGCAGGAGATTTCCCCTAAAGTTGAAACTTGTTTTAAATGGTGTGTTCTCAAGTTCAGAGAAAAAAACATGTACAGTGAATGTGTCTCTAGGATGTTTTTAAATGATGTTTTTTGTTAGTATGTCCTTAACCAGAACCTTAGATGGTTAGGAATCCAATAATCAACAGTTATGTCATTAACCTGGACATAATACCATGCCTGAGCCACTTAACAGTTCTATTTTATACGTATGAAGAAGATGGAGAATTGCTATTTGTCATTTTATTTAAAAATGGCCATCCTAAAAGAACATATGGTTCTTGTTGTAGGAGATATTTCACTCACTGTTATGGACACGGTAAGGTCTTGTTAGGATGAAGGAATTTCCCTTTCAATTTATGCTTATGTGAAGAATTAATATAAAGTCTCTCAAAAAATCGAGTTTGTCTTAATCTGTATCAGATGAATTGAGAGAAATTGTTTGTCACTAAAAAATAATATTTTTTGGAACTTGTCCTGCTGAAAAGCGATATCCCAAGTATAAATACAGTAAAGTACACACAGTAAAGGGTTAAAAAAAATTTTTCTAGACAACTGCAAACTTCAAGGAGTAGAGCATTCAAGGAGTTGGTCTGATGGGAATCCATGATGTCATGTGTTGCTTGAGGAGCAACAGAGAACAAAAGAGGTCCCTCCCCCTGCTATGTCATGACTTACCTGGACCACCTATTGAGACGTGCCTTTTAAGTAGATCAGGTGTAAAATGAGGTGAAAGGGAGACTGGAGTGCCTCTTTAAAAGGTGCAACTTCCCATTTTAGAGGAGACCAGTGTTGCAGCCTCTTCTGCCCCCATGTGGTGTGTTCTAGTAATTACAGCAGCACTGGACTATTGTGAAAGGACAATCTTGTGTTTTTCTCTGCACGTGTGTTAACCATGATCCAATTCTTAAAAGCGACACTGGGATATCATTTTCTCCATTACTTAAATGGTTATATTAGTGTCCCATTTGTCTAACTGCATTAAACGTTTTAGAAATACCTAATAACTCAACTGAGTGGATCAGTGTACGTGTGTGGTTCTCCTTAAAAATATTGCTTTGTCTAATTCTGGCATGTTCAACTATGTTGCCTCTAAACCAGGTAGAGAATAAAACTGAATTGGAGTTTGTGTGAATTTGTTAGAGCCTACAGTGTAGAGGGAAGATGTTCTGTCACGTGCTGTGGGTTGGTCTGATTCTAAAAACCACCAGACCACTTATAGAGCGTACACTTCTCCAGTCTAGTCCTGTCAGATCTATGAAAACCAAAGTGGTAGAGCAGGCACTATGGGAAAATACTGAAATCATTTCAAATACAGGGCTTGATTGAGCTTGCCTGGCACATGAAACCGATAGAATAGCTGAAAAACTGCCAACCCCACCCATCTGGTACTCCAGGCAGGCTAAAGCAAACACAAAGTATTTGAAAGATTTGTTCCCAGGTCTGATACCATGCCCTAGTCTTGTACATATTAGGTAGAGTTCCTGCTATAAAGCTCACATCTCATCTTAGAAACGAGACACCATACATAGAATTTCTAGTTTATTACGGTTTATTTGAAATAAACAGCAACTGAAAATATGTTCAATTAAAAACTGATACATTCCACAGCTAAAGGGCCTACACAGTAAGCAAAGAAAACCGTCCTTCTACGTCACTCTGTCCGTCCGTCCGTCTGCCAAACTACACCACAGGGTAGTTGGAGGCTTCATCACCATGGTCAGTGTGTGGTGTCAGTCAGTCACTCCCTAACCCCTCCATGTTTGTAGATCTGGAGGGTCTGGGTAAGTATAAGCAGTGCAGTGGGGGGGGGGGGGGGGGGGTAGGAAGCGATTTGGGACCGGCTGTGTGTGTGGATGGTGCCAGTGTGAATGTCTGGTTTGGGGGGGGGGGGGGGGGGGGATTGGGAAAAGAGACCAGAAGGCCTTCGGTTCATCCTCCGCCTGTCCAGTGTGTGTAGCAGTCCCAGGTCCAGATTTACGACAGCACAGCGTGGGTGGTTCGGACACCCACAAGATTGTCTGCGCTGAGGGACTTCCTTATGGTCACCTTGCCCAGATCCTTGTATCTGTCCTCACACAGTCTGGAGATAGCCTGGGAACAACATAACACTTATTACATGTAACCCCAAGGCCACTCAACAGTTCAATCATAAGGACATAAAGATCATAGACTTTGGCCCCTACCAACTAGGCACTTGTGTAGATTGGTATAAGAAACATGGTGAAAATTCCCCCTAGCCAATCAGAAGGCAGAGTGGAGCTACTACCATATTTCTAACACCTATGCAATTGTTTATCTATATGTGTCTAGGGAGTAGGGGTTGTTTCTGGACAGGACCTAAGTCAACCAGGACTACCATTAAAAGGCTCTCCTCTAGCCAAGTAGTAGTGTTTGTATTCCTGCTCTACTAGAAGCTCTCCTCACCTCCAGTTTGGTGGCTCGCTGGTTGTCAAGTGGCTCCAGGGGGAAGTTGAGGTTGTTGTCATCGGCCAGGGAGCGCAGGTCAAAGTAGTACTTGGCGTAGACGCTGGCTGGCACGTTGATGTTGAACTGAAGCAGCTCCAGGAAGTGCCTCTCCATCTCGTTCCTGTGGGGGGGTAGAGAGGTGAATCTCAGAAGTCTTATCCTCTATACTCTCCTTTAAAAATGTCAGCGGGAAGCGAGTTCTCGGGGAGAAATTGAGGACAGAGGACGCAAGGAATCGAGGATAGACTTTTGAGATGTACCTGGGCAGAGAGACATGAGCGGATGAGATGTGTGATAGCAACCTGTTTTGGCCCACATTGCAACGTTCCAATTTAACTATGCGCCTCATAATATTGATTTATATGAGGATATTCACAGTTCACTCTTGGGTGAGCCAAAACAATACATTCCTGCACAGTGCTTACTTGCAAAGTTCCACATTTCTATGGAGACCTTTGTCAGAGGCATCAATCTATTAAATTGTATTAATATAGTCCTTTGAACAAGGATGTCACAAAGAGCCCTGTAGCCTGTCCTACAGCCAGTAAGAAACACACAGTGGTAAGAAGGGGGGCCTTATGGGCGCAGCGGTCTAAGGAGTCACTACAGACACTGGTTCGATCCCAGGCTGTGTCACAGCCGGTCGTGGCCGGGAGACACATGAGGCGGCGCACAATTGGCCCAGCGTCGTCCGGGTTAGGGGAGGGTTTGGCCGGCCGGGATTTCCTTGTCCCATCGCACTCTAGCGACTCCTTGTGGCAGGCCGGGCACCTGCAAGCTGACTTCGGTCGCCAGCTGGACGGTGTTTCCTCCGACACATTGTTGCGGCTGGCTTCCGGGTTAAGCAAGTAGTGTGTCAAGAAGCAGTGCGGCTTGGTGGGGTCGTGTTTCGGAGGACGCTCTCGACCTTCGCCTCTCCCGAGTCCGTAGGGGAGTTTCAGCGATGGGACAAGACTGTAACTACCAATTGAATATCACGAAATTGGGGAGAAAAATTGGTAAAGTACAACAACAACAAAAAGAAAGGGAGCCTTACGACCCTCCAGCGGCTGAGGAGACCCACAGCCTGAATCCCAAAACTACCCCTACACCCCTCAAATTCAACTGTGGACCTCCAAGCCAGTTCCACTGATTTTTTTCATTGTTCCCCTCTAATCAAGGACTGATTTAGACCTGGGACACCAGGTGGGTGCAATTAATTATCAGGTAGAACAGAAAATTGTCAGGCTCCGGGACCTCGTAGGGTAAGAGTTGAATACCCCTGCCCTAAGCACTTGTGTAGATCTGAGAGCATTGGATAGGTTTAAGGATGATGGTAGTCACTCCCTCTTGCACTCTGACAGGCCAGCTGGAATGGTCGCCCTATTGCTTACACCTATCCAAACCTCAGATCTGATGCCTAAAGGTGGGGTTCGGGGGGAGAGCTTTTAAAGGTGAGCAGCCAGGGGGACACTGACATGTCCTCCACGGTGATGTCCTTGAGGATCTGGCAGTAGTCTACGTTCCACACGGCCTGGTCGTCCCACACCTTGGAGGCCAGTAGGATGGCTCCCAGGACGATACGCTTCCAGTTGCATGGACAGATGTCCATCTCTGCATAGGTCAGCAGACGCTCCAGGTACACCTAGGGAGAGGATGGACACACAGTAATGAGACACAGTCTCGTCAGACACACACACAGTAATCAGTAACACACATACAGGCACACACACACACACTGACGGACCACAGTTAGCAGGGCCAGGTGTTCAGCAGGAGACAATAATATATCATGTAGAACAAGAGTCTCTCTTATGTCAGCTCTCAACATGACAACATTTGCCTACTGAGCATGCCCAGAGTGAAACTCCCTGTGATAGGTGAACTGACTGGTGGTATCCTGTGATAGGTGAACTCACTGGTGGTATCCTGTGATAGGTGAACTCACTGGTGGTATCCTGTGATAGGTGAACTGACTGGTGGTATCCTGTGATAGGTGAACTCACTGGTGGTATCCTGTGATAGGTGAACTCACTGGTGGTATCCTGTGATAGGTGAACTGACTGGTGGCATCCTGTGATAGGTGAACTGACTGGTGGTATCCTGTGATAGGTGAACTGACTGGTGGCATACGTACCAGGGTGACGATGGCACACTCAGCGGTCAGCTGGGCCGAGCTGAACAGCGTGCGGACGAAGCGGTAGATGAGCTTGTGTTCAGGGTCCACGCTGTAGTAGTCTTCTGGAACCTTCTCCCTCTGAGGAAGAGGAGGCCTCGCCAGTCAGTCTGACAGGGGGCTTGGTGTGTACACACACACACACAGGGACATACAGTCTCTACTTCCACCTACTCACCGTTAATGGGTGGATCTTCTCATCAAAAATGTCCAGAGAACGGTTTGAATCCCTGATGAGAAAAAAAAAGAAAAGACAGTTAAGTCTACTGCTACAAGCCCACACACAGAGAAAGACACTCCCAGAATATGTTACTATGTCATCAACACACCTCCATTACTACGTTACTATGTCATCACACAACTCATCAACACACCTCCATTACTATGTTACTATGTCATCACACAACTCATCAACACAACTCCATTACTATGTTACTATGTCATCACACAACTCATCAACACAACTCCATTATTATGTTACTATGTCATCACACAACTCATCAACACACCTCCATTACTATGTTACTATGTCATCACACAACTCATCAACACACCTCCATTACTATGTCATCACACAACTCATCAACACAACTCCATTATTATGTTACTATGTCATCACACAACTCATCAACACACCTCCATTACTATGTTACTATGTCATCACACAACTCATCAACACAACTCCATTATTATGTTACTATGTCATCACACAACTCATCAACACACCTCCATTACTATGTTACTATGTCATCACACAACTCATCAACACACTTCCATTACTACGTTACTATGTCATCACACATTAACACACCTCCATTACTATGTTACTATGTCATCACACATTAACACACCTCCATTACTATGTTACTATGTCATCACACATTAACACCTCCATTACTAGGTCATCACACATTAAAGCAACTCCATTACTACGTTACTAAGTCATCATACATTAACACAACCTCCATTACTACGTTACTATGTCGTCACACAAATCATCAACACAAAACTCCTCCATTTAGCTCACCACGTCAATATATGAATATTTCTCAGTTTTCCTCATGAAATGAATATGGCACAGATAAAACCTACCTGTTTTTTATGTGATAGTATATAGCCAACGTGACACTGGAACAGAGAGAGACAAGACAGTGAGTCCTTACAATGATGGCCTCTTTTCTCCTCTGTCGTGGTGTGTGTGTGTGTGTGTGTGTGTGTGTGTGTGTGTGTGTGTGTGTGTGTGTGTAAGGTAAGGAGGACACTCACCATTTGACCGTACTCTTCAGGTTGGGCAGGCTGACCGTGCTATCATCAAGGAATATTGTGGAGCAGGAGCTGTACTTTTTAGATAGCAACCCAGGAGACATCTAGAAAAAGGGAGTAGTTGTTAGTCAATGAAACAGGGAAAAATATAGCATCATTTCCTGACATTTCTCCATAAGTATCAGTGGATGTCCATGGGTAGCCACACTAACGCTTGAATGGAAAGATGGATTTACTCACGTGATTACTTAAGTAGTTACTTTTCCTTTTCTCCCGCACTGGAGGAAAAAAAGTCAGACAAATCTTAGGTCAGGTAGTTAATTGAATGTGTTGAATAACTATCTCACGCTGACCATCAGACAGAATCTCTTGTTGTCCATATCAAACCTGGGACGTGATCTGCAGTTCACAACGTTGTGGGACGTTCAGATAGAAATATATTATGTAGAACAAACATGCATCTGACATGTAGAATAAGAAATCATGTCAGCTCTATTCATGACATTTTTATCTGCGCCGTTCCATGTTTGGTCCAGAGGGTCAGCCATGAGAAGTTGAAGATCCCCATGCCACTTACCATCAGTCTGTGACTTGTTGAGGAAGATTGTGCTGGCTCTGGCATTATCGGATGGGTTGGACTCCTGTGCCAATTCTGAAAGAAACAAGAAATACACACTTACATTTACATTTTAGTCATTTAGCAGACTCTCTTATCCAGAGCGACTTACAGGAGCAATTAAGGTTAAGTGCCTTGCTTAAGGGCACATCTACATATTTTTCACCTAGTCGGCTCCGGGATTAGAAGCAGCGACCTTCCGGTTCCTGGCACAATGCTCTTACCCACTAAGCTACCTGCCACTTAGCCTATAACATGAACACCACAAGAAATGCACACGTATCCCAACTATATACACCATTTGAATCTTAAAAGGCAGAGTGAGATACAGTATGATACTGACTGTTTACAGATCACAACTTCCAGGGATGCACCTTGTGACTTGACATCATGACACTCACTATACTCCGCAGGCTATAGATGAAGCAAAAACAATGCTAGATACTCCGCATGATATCTTGGAATAGCTGAAACAAAATTACGACTGCACAATCAGTAGTGCAGCGTCTTGCCTGTTCAGAGAGGCGCGACCATGACGCATACCCCTCCACTCCAGCTTATCCGAATAGTACACCTACCATCCGGGACCTCTCTATCGCTGATGTGCTGCAGATAGGTGCCCGTGTCCTCGCTTACGTCGTCGGCGGTGGTGGTTATTGGGTAGTCGTCGAGCTCGACGGCTCTCCTCGCAAGCTTTGGACTCCCACCGGGGGACATGCAGCATGACACTGTAGCCCCCATGATTGAACAATTGGCTAAAGTCCTACCACTGACTACACCCTATAAAACTGAAAGAAAACCGTTCACTCGTCTATAACAGACAGAACCTCTGTCAGTGATGCCTGGACTCAAAATGAAACATTCAATTTTAAATACATGAGTAGCAGCCGCATATTGGGGTTCATATCTACTACACACCATTCAAACTGAACAACTGAAACCCTATCCTTTTCAGGGCGTGTGCGCAGAGGCATGGCGAGTAGCGCATTGATACGTCGGCCAGATACAGGCTTGACCACTGTAAACTAATCTAGGCTGGCAACGCTAGGACACTGGTTTAACCATTTAATGGCAACACGTTACATTCGGTCTTAAACTGCTAGCTAGCTAGCTAGACAGCCAGACAGCCGATACAACGTTAAACACCATTAATCTGGTCTTCGTAAACCAGACGTAGTTTGCTAGCTAGTAGCAGCTAGCTGGCAAGCTATTGCTAGCTAGCCCTATGGCTAACACTAATCCAGGCTTCAGCTAATTGCCTACTCCTAACTGGCTACTTCTGCCGGTCCACTTGATCTAGCTATTCTTGCGGTGCATTGCAGTCTGAGAATATGCCGAATTCCTTCGTCCAAGCAAATGTCCCAGGTATGGCCGTTCACCTTACACAGAAATGTCTAATAGTGATGGGTCATGCGCACAAGCATCGGCTCTGAGAGCCGGCTCTTTGTAGTGAATCAGAAGAGCCGGCTCGCATCGAGTGAGAGCCGGCTCCCAGTTTTTTGCCCATTCGCTGCTTAGGTTTCACTTTCACAGAGGTCTGTTATGATTGGCCAGCATGGCGACCAGCATGCTGGACCTCCAGAACAACCTGCTCTTTCATGTCTGTCACTTGCCACTTTATTGAAGATTACAAGATGACATCTTGCCTTCTGGACTGCTTCGAGTTCACCGACAGACACACTGCAGAAAACTTGGCAGTGGAGCTACTAAGAGTGGCAAAAGAGTGGCAAGTAGAGGACAAAGTGGTGTGCTGTGTGGAGTGATAATGCTGCAAACATCACCAAAGCCATAAAAGTTTTGAAGTGGACCCATCACCCATGTCTGGCGCATACACTAAACCTGGTGGTTAGAGATGCTCTGAAGGTGATCAAAACAACCGTGGATAAGGTGAAGGCTGTTGTGGAGTTTTTCCACAAAAGCACAGTAGCAGCACAGAAGCTAAAGTCCACACAGCGCCAAATGGGGATTCCTGAACTGAGGCCCAAACAAGAGTGTGCCACCAGGTGGAACTCAACATTTGATATGTTGAAACGAATGCTTGAAATAAAAGATGCCATCATCTCCACCCTGGCCCTCATCAACGCATCTATTGAGCCATTAAGCCAAGAGGAATGGGAGCTGGTGAAAGAGGTCTGCGCCGTCCTGGAGGTGAGGAGCTACCTTGAGGAGCCCCTCATCCAGAGAGCAGAAGACCCACTGAGCTGGTGGCAGGCCAAGGCCTCAGTCTTTCCACTCCTGGTGAAGGTGATGGAGGGGAGACTATGTATTGTTGCCACATCAGTTCCTTCTGAGAGAATCTTCTCCAAAACCTAGTAAATATAGGTTCTAATAAGCCGTTCGTCAAAGACACGAGAAAGATGTGTCTAATGCTCAGATTTGAGACCGCTAGTTTGCTAACAGCTGATTCCCACTCCAGCCAAAGCCAACTAGGAAGGAACGCCCTCAAGAACGGCCCATTTTGATGTACGTCAATTACCATTGGCTGTTTATCAAAATTAATAATTGTTACTTGACAGAGATTGGTGAACAATGTCATTTGACAAGTGTCAGTTCTACGATTTTATTATCGCGAGAACATTGATTTTTCCACTTCCTCATAAGAAATCGTTCACCGTGGTATGAATTTCAAGCTTCCTAAAAGTTATTTATTATATTACATTTCCATGGTCTTCTTTTGACTATGGCGCTTGTACCATACAATGTGAATAATTTGCCCGCGCTCTCCAAACTACATAATTCGTCTGCCGAGTTCCATTTTGCTGACCACCATGTCAGACTAACCCAGGACTGGAATAAACTCGGGGTAGCTGCTGTCGTCTGGGATGCAGTGAGTGACCATCGTTGGTGTACAACTGTGCATGCTTTGCCGGATTTTTTTCATAAATTACCATTTTAATTCCAAGATGAACTATTCAATTATCCGTTGAATGACATGTAGTCTTCTTCAGTGTGACAAAGATGTAGCCAGCTATTATACTGTTGATTCTGCCACAATTTACCGATACTATTCTCTCCGATCTTATCTACCTCTGTATGTTTTCCTTTCTCTCTGTCAGGCGGTAGTGCTGTGTATGTACCTGGAGTTGGGGCAGGTCGAGCTGACGGGGAAGGTTGCCATCGAGCTGGGGGCAGGCACTGGATTGGTGGGCATCGTGGCAGCTCTTCTAGGTAAGAACTCACAGGGAAACTGGTAGGAGACTTGCACTATAGGGCCAAACCAAGATGAGCTGAAGTGGGCTGGCCTGATTACTAAACTCAGTAAAAAAAGAAACGTCCTCTCACTGTCAACTGCGTTTATTTTCAGCAAACTTAACATGTGTAAATATTTGTATGAACATAAGATTGAACAACTGAGACATAAACTGAACAAGTTCCACAGACGTGAGACTAACAGAAATTGAATAATGTATCCCTGAACAAAGGGGAGGGGGGAGGGGGATCTAAATCAAAAGTAACAGTCAGTATCTGGTGTGGCCACCAGCTGCTTTAAGTACTGCAGTTCATCTCCTCCTCATGGACTGCACCAGATCTGCTAGTTCTTGCTGTGAGATGTTACCCCACTCTTCCACCAAGGCACCTGCATGTTCCCAAAATGGCCCTCACCCTCCGATCCAACAGGTCCCAGACGTGCTCAATGGGATTGAGATCCGGGCTCTTCGCTGGCCATGGCAGAACACTGACATTCCTGTCTTGCAGGAAATCACGCACAGAATGAGCAGTATGGCTGGTGGCATTGTCATGCTGGAGGGTCATGTCAGGATGAGCCTGCAGGAATGGTACCACATGAGGGAGGATGTCTTCCCTGTAACGCACAGCGTTGAGATTGCCTGCAATGACAACAAGCTCAGTCCGATGATGCTGTGACACACCGCCCCAGACCATGACGGACCCTCCACCTCCAAATCCATCCCGCTCCAGAGTACAGGCTTCGGTGTAACGCTCATTCCTTCGACGATAAACGTCAATCCGACCATCACCCCTGGTGAGACAAAACCGCGACTCGTCAGTTAAGAGCACTTTTTGCCAGTCCTGTCTGGTCCAGCGACGGTGGGTTTGTGCCTATAGGCGACATTGTTGCCGGTGATGTCTGGTGAGGACCTGCCTTACAACAGGCCTACAAGCCCTCAGTCCAGCCTCTCTCAGCCTATTGCGGACAGTCTGAGCACTGATGGAGGGATTGTGCGTTCCTGGTGTAACTCGGGCAGTTGTTGTTGCCATCCTGTACCTGTCCCGCAGGTGTGATGTTCGGATGTACCGATCCTGTGCAGGTGTTGTTACACGTGGTCTGCCACTGCGAGGACGATCAGCTGTCTGTCCTGTCTCCCTGTAGCGCTGTCTTAGGCGTCTCACGTTTCTTTTTTTCCTGAGTTTATATAGTTGCTGGAACCGTTCTGGAAAGGACAATGTGAAAAGAAACCATCAGAGCCAGAACAGTTTGGGTCGGCCCTACAGTGTGGATCAGGCTCAACCGTTAGAACTACTAATTGTTAGTCACATTTTTATATTGACATGTGCTAACCATGCAAGCCTTCCCTCCAAAAGGTGCCAAAAAAGTGACCATCACAGACCGCGAGCCTGCCTTGGGCTTCCTTGCAGCCAATGTGAAAGAGAACATTCCCCCGGATCAGCTAGGAGCAGTGGAGGTCTCAGAACTGACCTGGGGCCAGGGATTGGAGCGCTATCCCACAGGAGGCTTTGACATAGTGCTGGGAGCAGACATTGTTTACCTGGAAGACACATTTCCATCATTACTGCAAACTATGGAGCACCTCAGCTCAGAGAGTAGTGTAGTGCTACTGGCCTGTAAGATTCGCTACGAGCGAGACACTAACTTCCTGAGCATGATGAAGCAGAGCTTCACAGTACAGGAGGTGCACTATGACAAGGAAAGAGACATTCACATCTACAAGGCTGTGAAGCTTCCAGCAAGGAGAGATCTGTAGGAACCATTGAATGATGGGGGATGTGAGGGATTTGAATCACAGTGGATGGATCAAGGTGCTGTCAATCATCAACCGTTCAGGGAGCAACTAATGAATGGACAGCCAGTGCGATGGTTGAGGGAGGATGGTTTTGTTCGATGCAGGGTTGTGTCCAGTAGGGAGAAAGCATGGCGCTACTATGGGTGATTGTAATTAATGTCTTCATTTCATTCTTCCTTTTTTAATAAAATGGATTTGAAAACAAATCAAGACATCTGAAAAATAATACCAGAAACACATTTATTAACAGCTGCCAAAAACAATAGTTGAAGAAAACTAATATAATTGTTTTGCTTTTTCAGAAAATACAATGTTTACAAAATATGAACAGAAATGGCAAGTGTTTTAAAAATAAGATGCATATACATTGACAGATGGCTATGTAAAAACAAAATAATACAATATGGCATTCTGTTGTCCAATCAAACAGAAGACTGGGTTCAGTAAGCAAATAGAACGTTGCAGATAAAAATAGTGAATAGAGCTGACATGAATCCTTATTTCACATGTCAGAAAGGCATGTCTGTTCTACAAAACAGTTCTAGCTGAACATTTCTATCTGTTCCACATTGTTGTGAGCTGCTGAACGCGCCCCTGGTGTAATCCCACGTTTGTTGACTTTTCAGTCAATGTCAGCGATGGATCCGAAAATTTTGGTCTACGACATTACTGCAGATCCAAGCAAATTGTCCATTTTAACCACATGATTTTAAAAAATGCTTAATCCCTTGTCCTGTCAGAAGTGTTTGAGGCACAACAGATGAACAAGTGGGATTGTGGGGCTAATCCTAACGTTCACTTTAGTCTCCCATTGACTTCAACGCATGATGACTAAGTTAAGTGGAAGTTCGGACATCCTCCAATATGATTATGCCTCATGCCTGTTCAGGCCATCGAGAAACAAACATGGAGGCTCAAACACACTCTACCTCAGACATATTATACATTACATGAATGCCCAAAAACACACTATACAACACCCATAGCCTGCCCTTCAGTCATTTTTCAGAACTCTTCCTGTCAGCTGCATGGTAGTATACATTAGCACAACTCGTTAAAAAGGGTAGACTCAGCGAAATGACTTTGCCACGAGCAGCACCAGAGATATTGAGATGAGCGAGATGCAACACTTCGCTCTCGCACAGTATCTGCGCATGTGCCCAGGTTCGCTTCACGCTGTATACAGCGTGGTAGCCAGGGCACCAAAACAGCGGAGAAGTTGAGCCTCGCTCTTCAACGCTCTTAGTTGTTGCGGAAATTTACCCACTATGCTGTTTACTTTCTGCATCTAAGTAATATCGCTGAGTTTACCTTTTAATGCCTGTTAGTTGATACAGTCAATCCACCCACGATCCATCTCCTACCCCTACCCCAAAACAGCCACCAGATGTGTTTTTCCCCAACTTAGCAAGGCTGGTAACACAAAGCAGAATAACAAAAGTTTGCAAGCAGAAAAATTCAATACATGATAACCCAACTCAAGCTCAAAGATAATACATTTCATATGACAGTGGTTGGGATCTACAGTCCACATAAAGCGTAAGTAACAGAAGAGTTAAACCAATCATCAGCCTAAATACTAAATAGTGTAGCACTCAAAAAGATGACAATCTTTCCAAATTCATTTCCAACGTGTGGCGCAGGCAGACAGGCCAAACTCAGAATAATTCTATAGGGTAGTTAATGGTGGGCAGAGGGGTCCTAGTCCTCCACGGCTGGTGTTTTCCTGGTATCTGACATCTTGAGACTGGTTAGTTAGCAGCAGTGTAGTGGATATACATGATACCTTCCACTGTAAGATCCCACATTCCACTCCACTAGGGGCCCCATTCTATTGGTGGAGAAACAGTGCGTGCTCCACCTCATCCTTTTTAGGGGTACTCATGATGGTAAGTACTCATAATGTCATCCATTTAGGGGTACTCATGAGGTCATCCTTTTTAGGGGTACTCATGAGGTCATCCTTTTTAGGGGTAATCATGAGGGCATCCTTTTTAGGGGTAATAATTAGGTCATTTTTAGGAGTACTCATGAAAAAGTGGAGAAATTGTGTAAGGTTTTCCTTGTTGGTTTTCCTCTTCCTGTAGGTCTTCTAGACTGGTAGCGCTTTTTAAAAAGAAAACCCAGATAGAAAGGGGGGAGGGTGGTGCCAGATGCATGGCTCTGTGGTGAGTCTCTGTACATGGGGGACACACCACTCAGGGCCTGGGGGGGGGGGGGGCACTACTCTGATTTGTGGCAGTACAAGTCTTTAAGTGACTTCAGTTCCTCAATGAGGGTTTTGTTTTGGTTCTCCAGAACGGCCACACGGTTCTCTAGACACTTGACGTACTCCTTCTTCTTCCGGCGACACTCCCGGGCCGCCTCCCTGTCACAAACACACAGTACTGTATGTCTGCCTCAGCTAAGCAAATCTTAACATCATCATCATGTTACTCATGTGTTCACTTAACATTACCTCAAAACTTTATTACGTAGGTTTATAAGTAGGAGTTCCATATAAACAATGATACATTTACATTATAGGATATAGGCTACCATTTCACCCAACACCCTTCATTAAAGTGATCAACATAACCCTAGCTAACAGTGCTATAGTATCTATGGCCTCTACTCCACCTACCTGTTCTTCATCAGTCTGACCTCCCTCTTGCGGGTGACGACTACCTCTGGGCCTTCCTGGCCGGACAGGGCTGGAGAGGAGGCCATCACCATCCCAGGAGTCATGCTGCTGGTGTTGGCTGTACGGATCTGGTAGGTCTGCACTTCTCCAGAGGCAGCTGGGAAACAGAAGGGATCGTAGCATTACGTGTTAGCGTTTACGTCAAGAAATTCTGATTGTAGGCATACAGGAGTTGTTTGTGTTGTGTGTGACTGCATGAGATCCAGTCATGCAGAAAAACTGTTCTGTTTAGACGTGGGAATGTACGAGCTGATGAACAACTGACGGGGCACCCCATAAGAATTGCAACTTCAACGAGGGTGGGGCCGCCCGTGGTCCAAGAGTTTCTCACCTTGCATTACCACCTGGTTGCTGGGCACCAGGATCTGCTGTCCATCGGAGGTCTGAGCGTACTGCAGTATGGTGGTGCCCTGCTGGGCGCCCGCCGCGTTGGTCATGGTCAACGTCTGCATCCCCTGCATGCCATCCGTACCGTTATTGGCCAGCTGGATGGCGCCGCCCTGGGTGATGGCGACTGCCGAGGAGGAGGCGGGGTTAGTGGATGATGGACAGGTTAGGAACATTTCAGCGGTCTGCTCGGTCATGTTCAGCAGGGCAAACCGTAGAGAAACGTTTTGCAACAGAAAATGAACATCTGTCATTATTGGACATGTTCAGGTAGTACCTTCCTGTTTCATTCAGTTTTTAAAAAAAAATATCCCTACTGAACATGACCCTATTTCCACTATAGTCATTGACCATACACTACTCATCAAATATAAAGTAAGTATGCCTTGGACAAACTAGAACGAGCCAGGCACGCTTCAAATATGGCCATGATGAAACTGGAGTACGGGGGAAGTTGCCCCTAGATGCTGATCTTGGGTCAGTTTAGCATTTTCCCCTCAAGGGGATTGGTGGAGGGGAAGCAGATCTAGATCCTAGATCTGTACCATTGGGAGTGAGTAGGGAGGGGTAACGTACTGTACTGGCCGCTGGCCGTCTGGTAGATGGGGCATGATGTGGGCATAGTAACGGTGGTGATGGCGGGGGTCGAGTCGTCCTCCGATTTCTCCTCCTCGATCGGCGGGACCGCCGACACGTCAGACGACAGGTCGTTCAGGATCTTCCTGCAAGGGACAACAAACACAATCCCAACCAATGTCTCAGACTCTGTCAACAATGTGTTGTCAGATTTCATTCACAGCCCAAACAGAGCCAAAATGGCACCCAATCTGCATTTTTTATTTAGTTTTTAAATCCCTATCTAGCAACACTGAGTCCACATGACAGTAATGTTGCCAGATTGGGATAATTTAATGCTGCCCTGAGGCTGAGAGAGCGGCCCTGTGGAGGAGTGGTACCTGTAGGAAGGGCGTCTGGACAGAATCTCCCTCCTCTTCTGAGAGTCTGTCACACTGTCCACCGACTCCTGGGAGTCCTGGGAATCCTCTGCAACTGTAGAAATCTGACACACGGTCAAACACAAGAGTTGCAGTTTATAGGGTGTCCAATCAAAAATGCATATTTTGACCAATGGGTAAAATGGTGTTAATTGTGTAGATCCTCCTCTAAGAAAACCAATGGTCCAACCCTCAAGTCTCTATCATAATCTGTTCAAAAGTTATTGGAGTTTTTACCCTTGTAGGATGGCCAGAATTAGGGCGACTAAATCAATGGAGGCCAGAGGAAAAAAAGTAGTTAAAAATCTGGAAAATTGCATGGCGTCAGCTAGGCTGGATTCTGTGCAGGAATGAAGGCTACTGGCTAACTGACAGGATCACTTTCCAGTTGAACTCGTCATCTTTCTTCTAGAATCCGCACGACACAAAACAATATAGAGGTAAGATGGATATACACTTTTCATATTCGTTCGAAATTCCTGTAATTCTTCGCAGATATCTCACAAAAACAAGCGTATCTCTGAAATGTCAATGGCGCACTAAGGGTATACAAAGCCTTTCATTTCCAAAGCCTTTTACATTTAATTCAGCTCGTGTCATGCTAATTTAGCTTTTTGCGAACCACGGAAACAAACTTTGACCACAAAATGTAAATTTCTAAAAATGTGTTACGAGAAACCTGCACCGCTATGTCAACAGAGCTAAGTGCTTATTATCGGATGTATTAGGTTATGAAATCCGACTTTTTGGATATAATGTTAATACACTGCTCAAAAAAATAAAGGGAACACTAAAATAACACATCCTAGATCTGAATGAATGAAATAATCTTAAATACTTTTTTCTTTACATAGTTGAATGTGCTGACAACAAAGTCACACACATTTTCAATGGAAATCAAATTTATCAACCCATGGAGGTCTGGATTTGGAGTCACCCTCAAAATTAAAGTGGAAAACCACACTACAGGCTGATCCAACTTTGATGTAATGTCCTTAAAACAAGTAAAAATGAGGCTCAGTAGTGTGTGTGGCCTCCACGTGCCTGTATGACCTCCCTACAACGCCTGGGCATGCTCCTGATGAGGTGGCGGATGGTCTCCTGAGGGATCTCCTCCCAGACCTGGACTAAAGCATCCGCATGCTCAGTGTGAACCTGCTTTCATCTGTGAAGAGCACAGGGCGCCAGTGGCGAATTTGCCAATCTTGGTGTTCTCTGGCAAATGCCAAACGTCCTGCACGGTGTTGGGCTGTAAGCACAACCCCCACCTGTGGACGTCGGACCCTCATACCACCCACATGCACATTTGTGGCCTGCTGGAGGTCATTTTGCAGGGCTCTGGCAGTGCTCCTCCTTGCACAAAGGCGGAGGTAGCAGTCCTGCTGCTGGGTTGTTGCCCTCCTACGGCCTCCTCCACGTCTCCTGATGTACTGGCCTGTCTCCTGGTAGCGCCTCCATGCTCTGGACACTACGCTGACAGACACAGCAAACCTTCTTGCCACAGCTCGCATTGATGTGCCATCCTGGATGAGCTGCACTACCTGAGCCACTTGTGTGGGTTGTAGACTCCGTCTCATGCTACCACTAGAGTGAAAGCACCGCCAGCATTCAAAAGTGACCAAAACATCAGCCAGGAAGCATAGGAACTGAGAAGTGGTCTGTGGTCACCACCTGCAAAACCAGTCCTTTATTGGGGGTGTCTTGCTAATTGCCTATAATTTCCACCTGTTGTCTATTCCATTTGCACAACAGTATGTGAAATGTATTGTCAATCAGTGTTGCTTCCTAAGTGGACAGTTTGATTTCACAGAAGTGTGATTGACTTGGAGTTACATTGTGTTGTTTAAGTGTTCCCTTAATTTTTTTGAGCAGTGTATGTTAGAGAAAGACCTCACTGAACGATTCAGAACATGAATAATCATATTTGTCTTGGGAAAATGTATTTTATAAATAAGGAAGTCTAAGAGAAAATCATTTTGTGTGGAGGTGCTGACTAACAGCAAATAAAATGTAAGCTATAAAATAAATAAAGAGCCACACACTATATATAAACCTCCAGTAATTTATTGGGTAAAACACCAACGTTTCGGCATCACTGTGCCTTCTTTATTTTTAGCCAATAAATGACTGGGAGTTTATATACAGTACCAGTCAAAAGTTTGGACACACCTACTCATTCAAGGGTTGTTCTTTATTTTTTACTATTTTCTACATTGTAGAATAATAGTGAAGACATTAAAACAATGAAATAACACATATGGAATCATGTAGTAACCAACAAAGTGTTAAATCAAAATAGATTTTAGATTGTTGATTATTCAAAGTAGCCACCCTTTGCCTTGATGAAAGCTTTGCACGCATTCTTCTCAACCAGCTTCACCTGGAATGCTTTTCCAACAGTCTTGAAGGAGTTCCCACATATGCTGAGCACTTGTTGGCTGCTTTTCCTTCACTCTGCCGACCAACTCATCCCAAACCATCTCAATTGGGTTGAGGTCGGGTGATTGTGGAGGCCAGGTCATCTGATGCAGCACTCCATCACTCTCCTTTTTTTTTCCTTTTTCCCGGGGCTTCATTATCAGCTTAATATTGCAGATGGATTGTAACTTCTATCAATGTAATTGTCTGCATCACTTCCAATCCCCCATGTTTTTTATATATATACTCCCCTTTATTACTTTTTGGTTAAGTGTGCCTTGAATTCTAAATAAATCACTGACAGTGTCACCAGCAAAGCACCCCCACACCATCACACCTCCTCCTCCATGCTTCACGGTGGGAACTACACATGCGGAGATCATCCGTTCACCTACTCTGTGTCTCACAAAGACACGGCGGTTGGAAACAAATCTCAAATTCGGACTCATCAGACCAAAGGACAGATTTCCACCAGTCTAATGTCCATTGCTCGAGTTTCTTGAACCAAGCAAGTCTCTTCTTCTTATTGGGTGTCCTTTTGTAGTTGTTTCTTTGCAGAAATTTGACCATGAAGGCCTGATTCACACACGTCTCCTCTGAACAGTTGATGTTGAGATGTGTCTGTTACTTGAACTCTGTGAATCATTTATTTGGGCTGCAATTTCTGAGGCTGGTAACTCTGGGTCTTCCTTTCCTGTGGCGGTCCTCATGACAGCCAGTTTCATCATAGCGCTTGATGGTTTTTGAGACTGCACTTGAAGAAACTTTCAAAGTTCTTGAAATGTTCCGGATTGACTGACCATCATGTCTTAAAGTAATGATGGACTGTAATTTCTCTTCGCTTATTTGAGCTGTTCTTGCCATAATATCGACTTGGTCTTTTACCAAATAGGGCTATCTTCTGTGTACCACCCCTACCTGGTCACAACACAACTGATTGGCTCAAATGCATTAAGAAGGAAAGAAATTCCACAAATTAACTTTTAACAAGGCACACCTGTTAATTGAAATGCATTCCAGGTTACTCCCTCATGAAGCCGCTTGAGAGAATGCCAAGAGTGTGCAAAACTTTCATCAAGGCAAAAGGGTGGCTACTTTGAAGAATCTCAAATATAAAATATATTTTGATTTGTTTAACACTTTTTTGGTTACTACATGATTCCATATGTGTTATTTCATAGTTTTGATGTCTTCACTATTATTCTACAATGTAGGAAATACTAAAAATAAAGAAAAACCCTGGAATGAGTCGACGCTGGGCCAATTGTGCGCCGCCCATGAGTCTCCCGGTCGCGGCCGGCTGCGACAGAGCCTGGATTCGAACCAGGATCTCTAGTGGCACAGTTAGCACTGCGATGCAGTGCCTTAGACCACTGCACCACTCAGGAGTACAGGTGTCCAAACTTTTGACTGGTACTGTATAACATAAGGAAGTGAAATTTCATCCCCAAAACGCGTGGGGAAAGTGGGTGGACAGTTTATTGGAAATGCAGTAATACCTGTACAACATCCAATAATGTTACATTGATTTGTTATTACTGTATGTGACCCACACCAACCCTCATAGCTGCCTTCTGAGAGATTCTCTCCTATAGATTAGATGAGTTCATTAGTCACATGCACAGGATCGCACATGTACAGTGTCTTCGGAAAGTATTCAGACCCCTTGACTCTTTCCACATTTTGTTACAGCCTTATTCTAAAATTGATTAAATTGCCTTTTCCCTCATCAATCTACACACAATTCCCCATAATGACAAAGCAAAAACATGTTTTTAGAAATGTTTGCCAGGTTTCCTCCAGACGTGATGCTTGGCATTGAGGCCAAAGACTTCAATCTTGCTTTCATCAGACCAGAGAATCTTGTTTTTCATGGTCTGAGAGTATTTAGGTGCCTTTTGGCAAACTCCAAGCGGGCCATCATGTGCCTTTTACTCAGGAGTGGCTTCCGTCTGGCCACTCTACCATAAAGGCCTGATTGGTGGAGTGCTGCAGAGATGGTTGTCCTTCTGGAAAGTTTTTCCATCTCCACAGAGGAACTCTAGAGCTCTGTAAGCGTGAACATCAGGTTCTTGGTCACCTCCCTGACCAAGGCCCTTCTCCCCCGATTTCTCAGTTTGGCTGGGCAGCCAGCTCTAGGAAGAGTCTTGGTGGTTCCAAACTTCTTCCATTTAAGAATGTTGGAGGGCACTGTGTTCTTGGGGACCTTCAATGCTGCAGAAATGTTTTGGTACCCTTCCCCAGATCTGTACCTCGACACAATCCCGTCTCGGAGCTCTACGGACAATTCCTTCGACCTCATGTCTTGGTTTTTGCTGTGACATGCACTGTCAACTGTGGGACCTTTTATAGACAGTTGTGTGCCTTTCCAAATCATGTCTAATCAATTGAATTTACCACAGGTGGACTCCAATCAAGTTGTAGAAACATCTCAAGGATGATCAATGGAAAAAGGATGCACCTGAGCTAAATTTCGAATCTCATAGCAATATTTATGTAAATAAGATATTTCAGTTTTTTGTGTGTGATAAATTTGCTAAAATTTCAAATAACCTGTTTTTGCTTTGTCATTATAGGGTATTGTGTGTAGGTTGCTGAGGAATGTAAAAAAAAAAAAAAAAATTTTGAATAAGGCTGTAACGTAACAAAAATGTGAACAAGTCAAGGGGTCTGAATACTTTCTGAAGGCACTAATTGCAGGGTACAGTGAAATTCATAAGCTCCAAGCTCCAACAGTGCAGGTCAAATATAGCCCTGTTGCTGCTTATTACCAAGGCCTATTGCATGTACCTTCCTATATATATCACAATAAGACTAGTGTAGTGGAGGGAGGGAGGCATGGGGCCCACCTGGACAGTCTGCACTTGAGGCGACTGGATGACCGAGGGCTGGGAGGCCTGGATGACCCCGTGAACCTGAACCGTCTGACCGTTGGGTAACTGCACTAGGGTGACTGTAGGGCCACTGGAGGAGACCTGTGCTGCAGCCATAGACACCTGCAGCAGACACACAATTAGAAACGGCTCATGAACGTAGCCTATACATGCACATTATAATGGTCCAGGGCCCGGTTTCCCAAAAGCATCTTAAGGCTAAGTTCATCTTAGAACAATAGGATCCTATGGTTCTAACGATGAACTTCGCCTTAAGATGCTTTTGGGAAACCGGGCCCAGGTCCATCTTTTAGCTTATGAATCTACTGGTATAGCCTACATGCACATAATGGGTACAATCAAAGACCATGAATAGAACTGAATAGAAGTGATTGATTATTCTTCATGTCGTCGGAGAACAGTTCTGCTGTTCTACATACTGTAACTTATTTATATCTGAACGTTCTACAACGTTGTGCCCTGCTTAACGCAGCCCACCTATAGAGGCCCCCTATACACATAGGCTGCATTTACACAGGCAGGTTCTTGGTCACCTGCCCTTCTCCCCCGATTGCTCAGTGTGACCGGGCAGCCAGCTTTAAGAAGTCTGTATGGCTGCGTTTACACTCTCACCAATTTGTCTTTTGACCAATCATATCAGCTCTAAAAAAGATCTGACGTGATTGGTCAAAGGACAAATGAGTTGAAAAATCATCAGAATTGGGCTGCCAGTGTAAACGCAGCCATACAGACTCATACATGTACGCAGAAATTAGGCCCTCGTAAAGAATTTCCACCTGAGGATCAATAAAGTTTAATTTGATTCAAGTGTCTGGCAACGTTGATGAGGGTAATGTACCTGGGCCAGTGTGATCTGCTGGGCCTCAGACTCAGAAACAGCTGTGTCACCACCCTGCTGTGTATCGGCGCCCGCTTCCATGGTCATTTAGTTGGCTGGATTGGAGGGTGGAGAACTCTGGAGAGCCTGTGAATGTCCGTTTTTACACACAAAATGTAAACCACTGGATTTTGGTATGGATTTAATTCAGGGTTCTCCAACCCTGTTCCTGGAGAGATACCCTCCTGTAGGTTCACTCCAACCCTGTTCCTGGACAGACACCCATCCTGTAGGTTTTCGCTCCAACCCCATTTGTAACTGACCTAATTCAGATGATCAACCAGCTAATTATTAGAATCAGGTGCGTTAGATTTGGGTTTGAGTGAAAACCTACAGGACCTGTTCTCAACCTGTAGTGGAACAAGAGCTTCAAGTTCCTTGGTGTCCACATCACCAACGAACTATCATGGTCCAAACACACCAAGACAGTCGTGAAGAGGGCACGACAAAGCCTATTCCCCCTCAGGAGACTGAAAAGATTTGGCATGGGTCCTCAGATCCTCAAAAGATTATACAGCTGCACCATCGAGAGCATCCTGACTGGTTGCATCACCGCCTGGTATGGCAACTGCTCGGCCTCCGACCTCAAGGCACTACAGAGGGTAGTGCGTACGGCCCAGTACATCACTGGGGCCAAGCTTCCTGCCATCCAGGACCTCTATACCAGGCGGTGTCAGAGGAAGGCCCTCAAAATTGTCAAAGACTCCAGCCACCCTAGTCATAGACTGTTCTCTCTGCTACTGCACGGCAAGCGGTACCTGAGTGCCAAGTCTAGGTCCAAAAGACTAATCAACAGCTTCTACCCCCAAGCCATAAGACTCCTGAACAGCTAATCATGGCTACCCGGACTATTTGCACTGCCCCCCCACCCCATCTTTTTACGCTGCTGCTACTCCGTTAATTATTTATGCATAGTCACTTTAACTCTACCCACATGTACATATTACTTCAACCACCTCAACTAGCCGGTGCCCGCGCACATAGACTCTGCACCGGTACCCCCCTGTATATATAGCCTCCCTACTGTTATTTTATTTGACTTCTGCTCTTTTTTTCAACACTTTTTTTGTTGTTTTATTTTACTTTTTTATTAAAAAATAAATGCACTGTTGGTTAAGGGCTGTAAGTAAGCATTTCACTGTAATGTCTGCACCTATTGTATTCGGCGCATGTGGCCAATAAAATTTGATTTGACAGTAGCTCTCCAGGAACATGGATGGAGTGAAAACCTACAGGATGGTAACTCTCCCGAAACAGTGTTGGGAGTGAAAACCTACAGGACGGTAACTCTCCAGAAACAGTGTTGGGAGTGAAAACCTACAGGACAGTAGCTCTCCAGGAACAGGGTTGGAGATTCCTGATTTAAGTGACGTTATGCACTGACTATGTGATGTTTCCGTGGCTTTTGTGCCCCTGTCTATTTTATACACGACCAGGTTGTTATTTGTTTAGGTGATTGATTGTAGGCTATACCAGACATGTAGTAATACGTGTGACTATCTGAAAGTATGGGGTATACTATCCCAAACCACAAATAAGTAACGTTACTAAGGTAAAAATGTGTTCTTTATTGGAATCCCCCTCCTACGTAGACATCGTGCATGAGTGTGTTGCTCAATGTATATCTAGATAATAAGTTCCAACATTGCATGAAGGTAATGATTACACATTTTAAAAGTGCATTTTCAATGTACGGTATAATCTACAGTACATGTCAACATTTCCTAACAAGGTACCCTGTTATTGCCGCCTTTTTCCAGGTAGCTAGCTAGCATAAGTATATAGCAATTTTAGCTACAAAGATAAGTCAGTAGCTAGCGGACACTTGCCTAGTTATACTAATAGATTGTAAGAAAAAACATTCAGTTTCAACCAAATGGTACGAAATGTAGTCATGTTCATATTGTTGCTTGATATATCAAAGCTGTGTGGTAGTTAGCAAATATCGACTTAACCTGACTGACTAGCTATAGCTCCTAGCTAGTTAACGTAGATATAAAAATGTGTCCCATGCGGTAAAGTCTTGAGTATTTCCTCTTAACTCATTTGTATTTGGTTAACTATGACAGTTGAATTGATATATTATCTACGTTTGCTAAGTAGTACGCTTATTCAACATTTAACCACGCCGTGCTTGCACAGACTGACTATCTTGCAAGCTAACTAACGTTAGCTAGTTCTTTGGGAGAGAAATGTCTGTAGCTAAGCCAGACAGTTGGGCTGGGCTAACATTCTATACCGCTAGTTAGCTTAGCAAGCTAGGCATTCGGACCTACACGTTTTTAACGATTGCCAGCAGGCTATGTAGCTAGCTAGATGGCCAAATTAGGTCTGCTAGCCAACATGCTGATACTATAATTACTGTGGTTGCAATCATTACTCGAGGACTCAAGCCTCACTCCCATTTTTCCAGTACCATTCTCACATAGCTGGCCGGCTAGCTTTGTAGACTGACTCAACATCGTGTAGCTCTGCAAAACCGCCGCCATGATCTCTTTGTTAGATTTGGACCGATTTCTCCAACACACCAGGGCTTTTTTCTATCCCCTTCTCCGCATCGGATGCTTACCCGACACAGACTCGCTTCGTCACTCCCGGGTCCTCCGAGCTCCACTTTTATTCAGACCGACACGTAAGAGACCGCGTCAGGCTACACCTCTGTCGCGTCACGGAGATGAACAACAACACGGAGAACGAGGGAGACGACGAAAATCATTTCTATCGACAGGGCTCGAATCTGAACGGAAAATGCCGAAATGCAAACGAAGCAACCCGACAAGTACGAACATTAGCGGAAGTGTACGAAATGTAGTCCTAAATAAAAGTGTCAGCCGAGAATATGAACAGCTGTCAATCAAAGACATCTTATAAACAGATACTACAACATCTTTGTTATACATTAGGAAGCATGAGCAGTAGGCTAAAAACAGAATTGTATTTCCAGCAGAACTGATTGTAGAATCTTAAATATACTATTTTGTTCATAATTGTCACTAGTGATTTTACATTTACTCTTATCCAGAGCGACTTACATTATATTTTTTCATACCCCCTGTGGGAATCGAACCCACAACCCTGGCGTTGCAAACGCCATGCTCTATCAACTGAGCTACAAACCAGGATCTCTAGTGGCACAGCCTGCACTGCCTTAGACCACTGCGCCTTAGACCACTGCGCCACTCGGGAGACACTAGTGATAAATCAAGAGATCTATTCCAAATGTTTCCTAACCATGGGCCAGATATATTTAAGAATTTTTGTGAGGAACACATTTTTGTGAGGCTGTTGGAAATTCTTAAATGAAACCAAAGACTGTGCTTTGCCATCTGATTCCAAAAGAAGGGGAATCAGCTTCTTAGCCCAGGTGGGGGCGAGATTCCCTAAAAACACGCCACTTCGTTACAGCTACAACCAGAAGTTACTTTTTCATAGCAGGTTAAGAGAACTTACGCAGCAGGTTAGGATAATTAACGTAGCAGGTTAGGATAATTAGGTTAGGACTTTTCATCCTAACCTGCCATGAAAAGTCACTTCCAGTCGTAACTGTATCGAAGGGGCGTGTTTTTAGGGAGTCCCAGGTGGGGGCAGTAGAACACTGTCTCTGAGCATTTTTTAATATTTTTTTTATTTTTTTTATTTCACCTTTATTTAACCAGGTAAGCCAGTTGAGAACAAGTTCTCATTTACAACTGCGACCTGGCCAAGATAAAGCAAAGCAGTGCGATAAAAACAACAACACAGAGTTACATATGGGGTAAAACAAAACAAAGTCAAAAATACAACAGAAATAAATATATATACAGTGTGTGCAAATGTAGCAAGTTATGGAGGTAAGGCAATAAATAGGCTATAGTGCAAAATAATTACAATTAGTATTAACACTGGAATGATAGATGTGCAAGAGATGATGTGCAAATAGAGATACTGGGGTACAAATTAGCAAAATAAATAACAATATAGGGATGAGGTAGTTGGGCGGGCTAATTTCAGATGGGCTGTGTACAGGTGCAGTGATCGGTAAGGTGCTCTGACAACTGATGCTTAAAGTTAGTGAGGGAGATAAGTGTCTCCAGCTTCAGATATTTTTGCAATTTGTTCCAGTCATTGGCAGCAGAGAACTGGAAGGAATGGCGGCCAAAGGAGGTGTTGGCTTTGGGGATGACCAGTGAGATATACCTGCTGGAGCGCATATTACGGGTGGGTGTTGCTATGGTGACCAATGAGCTAAGATAAGGCGGGGATTTGCCTAGCAGTGATTTATAGATGGCCTGGAGCCAGTGGGTTTGGTGACGAATATGTAGTGAGGACCAGCCAACAAGAGCGTACAGGTCACAGTGGTGGGTAGTATATGGGGCTTTGGAGACAAAACGGATGGCACTGTGATAGACTACATCCAATTTGCTGAGTAGAGTGTTGGAGGCTATTTTGTAAATGACATCGCCGAAGTCAAGGATCGGTAGGATAGTCAGTTTTACGAGGGCATGTTTGGCAGCGTGAGTGAAGGAGGCTTTGTTGCGAAATAGGAAACCGATTCTAGATTTAACTTTGGATTGGAGATTCTTAATGTGAGTCTGGAAGGAGAGTTTACAGTCTAACCAGACACCTAGATATTTGTAGTTGTCCACATACTCTAGGTCAGACCCGTCGAGAGTAGTGATTCTAGTCGGGTGGGCGGGTGCAAGCAGCGTTCGGTTGAAGAGCATGCATTTAGTTTTACTAGTGTTTAAGAGCAGTTGGAGGCTACTGAAGGAGTGTTGTATGGCATTGAAGCTCGTTTGGAGGTTTGTTAACACAGTGTCCAATGAAGGGCCAGATGTATACAAAATGGTGTCGTCTGCGTAGAGGTGGATCTGAGAGTCACCAGCAGCAAGAGCGACGTCATTGATATACACAGAGAAAAGAGTCGGCCCAAGAATTGAACCCTGTGGCACCCCCATAGAGACTGCCATAGGTACAGACAACAGGCCCTCCGATTTGACACATTGAACTCTATCAGAGAAGTAGTTGGTGAACCAGGCGAGGCAGTCATTTGAGAAACCAAGGCTATTTAGTCTGCCAATAAGAATGCGGTGGTTGACAGAGTCGAAAGCCTTGGCCAGGTCAATGAAAACGGCTGCACAGTACTGTCTATTATCGATCGCGGTTATAATATCGTTTAGGACCTTGAGCGTGGCTGAAGTGCACCCATGACCAGCTCGGAAACCGGATTGCATAGCGGAGAAGGTACGGTGGGATTCGAAATGGTCGGTGATCTGTTTGTTAACTTGGCTTTCAAAAACTTTTGAAAGGCAGGGCAGGATGGATATGGGTCTGTAACAGTTTGGATCTAGAGTGTCACCCCCTTTGAAGAGGGGGATGACCGCGGCAGCTTTCCAATCTCTGGGGATCTCAGACGTTACGAAAGAGAGGTTGAACAGGCTAGTAATAGGGGTTGCGACAATTTCGGCGGCTAGTTTTAGAAAGAAAGGGTCCAGATTGTCTAGCCCAGATTATTTGTAGGGGTCCAGATTTTGCAGCTCTTTCAGAACATCAGCTGTCTGGATTTGTGTGAAGGAGAAGCGGGGGGGGCATGGGCAAGTTGCAGCGGAGGGTGCAGAGCTGGTGGCCGGGGTAGTGGTAGCCGGGTGGAAAGCATGGCCAGCCGTAGCAAAATGCTTGTTGAAATTCTCGATTATTGTAGATTTATCGGTGGTGATAGTGTTTCCTAGCCTCAGTGCAGTGGGCAGCTGGGAGGAAGTGCTCTTATTTTCCATGGACTTTACAGTGTCCCAAAACTTTTTGGAGTTAGTGCTACAGGATGCAAATTTCTGTTTGAAAAAGTTAGCCTTTGCTTTCCTAATTGCTTGTGTATATTGGTTCCTAACTTCCCTGAAAAGTTGCATATCGCGGGGGCTATTTGATGCTAATGCAGTACGCCACAGGATGTTTTTGTGCTGGTCAAGGGCAGTCAAGTCTGAGGAGAACCAGGGGCTATATATTTTCTTAGTTCTGTATTTTTTGAATGGGGCATGTTTATTTAAGATTGAGAGGAAATTACTTTTAAAGAACAACCAGGCATCCTCTACTGACGGAATGAGATCTATATCCATCCAGGATACCTGGGCCAGGTCAATTAGGAAGGCCTGCTCGCTGAAGTGTTTTTGGGAGCGTTTGACAGTGATGCTGCCGGGGCGTTAGAACCAGCATAAGGCGTATGCTGTAGACACGTTTGAGAGCCCTGTGGGGGCAGTAGAACAGGTGCTGTCTATAGGCGTGCTGTATAGACCTATGGGGGGCGTAGAACATGTCTCTGAGAGTGCGTATAGACTATGGGGGCAGTAGAACACTGTCTGTAAGACCTGTGGGGTGCAGTAGAGCAGTCTCTGAGCGTGCTGTATAGACCGTGGGGGCAGTAGAACACTGTCTCTGAGCGTGCGTATAGACCTTGGGGCAGTAGAACACTGTCTCTGAGCCGTGCTGTATATACCTTGGGGGCAGTAGAACAACTGTCTCTGAGCGTGCTGTATAGACCTGTGGGGGCAGTAGAACACTGTCTCTGAGTCGTGCTGTATGACCTGTGGGGGCAGTAGAAACATGTCTCTGAGCGTGCTGTATAGACCTGTGGGGGCAGTAGAACACTGTCTCTGAGCGTGCTGTATAGACCTGTGGGGGCAGTAGAACACTGTCTCTGAGCGTGCTGTATAGACCTGTGGGGGCAGTAGAACACTGTCTCTGAGCGTGCTGTATAGACCTGTGGGGGCAGTAGAACACTGTCTCTGAGCGTGCTGTATAGACCTGTGGGGGCAGTAGAACACTGTCTCTGAGCATGCTGTATAGACCTGCTGCCACACTCAAGCTGCAAATCAGCAATAGGAAGCTGCCACAATCTGGGCCTTGTTGGAATACATAAAAAAATACATACATCCTTCCCTTTTGAAAGAAAGGGATAGGTTTTTATTTAGGTCTCCACTAAAGCAATACCCAAGAGAGTGTTATATTGTGATTATTGGCTAGATACTTTCACTTATCTAATCTCTGATTGGTGATCACATTGAGGGAGGAAGGAGGCATGTTTTGGTATTCCAACAGAGAAAGCCCTGATGTTGTAATGTGGGAAATGCTGTGCTGGGGTTATTGAGTTTCTGTTCCTTTTATAATGCTCAAGATGCCCATTTAATTTGCTTTATCTGTCTAATCTTCCTCTCTAACTTACACAAGCCATAAAAAACATCCCTTTATTGCAGACACAAAATGAGCTGTGTTTTAAAAGAAATTAACCCTGAGCTTTGGCAGCTGGTGCAAATCCTAAGGGAAACTTACACTTCAAACCAATTTATGACAATCATCTTTATTAAGGGGGTCAGTAGCTTTAAAAATAAATAAAAAATAGATAGATTGAGCCATATAGTCTATACACCCCCACGCACGTACACACATTCAGAAAACAGTGACTGACCTTGAGCTGGCAATGAGTGGAAGACTGGAGTGTTTCTCTGATGAGCCCCCACTGTGCAACTCCTCCAGGAGGGCGTTTGTGTGTGAACTCCCTGTAGCCTTCACGCCAACACTCAGCAATACTGTACCCTTCAGCATGAAGCCAGTCCGGCTCCATGCCCCATCTTTATATCTCTGCTGATATAGACTTTGCCTATTGCGCAAAGTACACTCATTGTAAAAAGGGGAGCCTACAGAAAAGGAAACGTTTACCTTAAAAAAAAACTAACATCCA